AGAGGAGGAGAGGAATGTTCTGGAGTCCAAGCTGTAAAAAATTACCGTACATGGGTAAAAGCCTTTTCACAGCATGAACAAATACTGGTGCAGATTATTAGCACATAACTTAAAAAATTGATTTCATGGTGCGCACTGAAACCATATTCATTTCTGCAGATTTTTCCAAATGCAGAAAGAAAGCGTGAACTGCATAATGTCCTTCAGAGAGAGACAGCAACGAGGAACCGAGAGCTCCGAAATATTAAAGCTGATCCAACACCAGAACGAGAGCTTCTTTTTTCTCTTTCTTTTTACGTCTGGAGGAGTTAAATCTGGTCGAGTGGGGATCCCTGGTGTTCATGTTCACACTAACTTCGCCCCCAAACCCTCCGAGTCGACGTGGAAGGTGGGTTTAGTCCAACAGCAGCCGTGCAGATCCAATAGTCAGTGTGTGTGTGTGTGTGTGTGTGTGTGAGTTTCTCGTGAAGAGCTCCAGCAGAGAGGCAGGGTGGACACTATGACACACACACACACACACACACACACACACACACACACACACAAGTGCTCTGACCAGCCCATGCTCTCCAGTGACTCACCACACACACACACACACACAAAAAAAATCACTGGCACTTCACTCACTCACGCACAACCTGGCTCGCTTGTACTCTCTTTCCAAAACACACACCCCCACACAGACACACACACACACACACACAGCCTCTCACTATTTCATAAAGCACTGAAAATACATGTGTGTGAGTGTGTGTGAAATAAAAGCAAAAAAAAGGAGTGGAGGGGAGGGGGGGTCTGAATATGTGCGTGTGCAAGATGCAGCTGTCATGCATGCTTTCTGCATGTGTGTGTGTGTGTGTGTGTGTGTGTGTGTGTGTGTGTGTGTATGTGTGTGTGTGTGAAATAAATAGCAGTTTGTGATAGTGTGTGCATGAGTGTGTGTGTGTGTGTGTGTTTGTTCCGGCTCGTATAGCTGTCATAAACCCTCATGACTGAATGCCATCGCGGGCAACACAAACCCAGAATGGGGTCCATTTCAATCGCCACAAATAATAAAAAAAACATGCGTCGAGCTGCAATCTTCAGCGATAAAAACCAACGATGTGAACAGTCTAAACGGTGAAATAAAAGCTCGCTACGGCTGCAGAGAGTGTGTGTGTGTGTGTGTGTGGGGGGGGGCTGTTGTGGATTGGGGTGACAGGTCAGGTGGCAACAACAAATCACAGCTGCACTTCCTAGGAACCGGCAAAATGTGTGTGAGTGTGTGACTGTGTGTCAAAGAAATAGCAGCGTGTCAGAGCAGGAAGAGGAAAAGCGAAAGTCTGTGTGTGTGTGTGTGTGTGTGTGTGTGTGTGTTGTGTGTGTGAGTGTGTGTAGAAGTCTCCAAGCGAGGAAGGGAAAGCGCACGAGAGCTGTGTGTGTGTGTGTGTGTTGGCGTTTGTGACAAATAAGTAGCAGCCAGAGAGAGAGCGAGTGAGCACGCTCTGATTCGGAGACTGGCAGCATGACTGACTGATCCCTGCATCCATATCATAGGATTAAAAAGCCTGACACGGCGGCGATACAATAGCGGCAAAATATGAGACAAAAAAAGTCGGTCAATGGAAACGGAAATGTGATTATGAAGCAGAACAGGCGAGAGGGAGATAATATTAAAAAATCTGACACACTTTCAAAAAAAAAGGAGCCATACAGTGCGGCGGCGGCGGCGGCTGGGAGGAGGTGAATGTTAACGCTGTCACCGGGCAGTATAGAGGGAAAGAGGAAGAGGAGGAGCTGCTGCCAAAATATGAGCCTCTCCAGTGCTCTTCCAAGAGCCAAGACACACTTCAGTCACACTGTCAGGGATGTGGTGGAGGGTAAAACCTGCCCAAATTCAGTTTACACACCTGTTCGTCTGAGCCCGACAGAAATCTCCCCCTCTGCACGTCCTTCAGACTCCAACTGCACAGTCACACGAGGAAGGACAGCGGAGGGAAAGCACAAAAACAAAAAGGATCTTTCCCTTTTGTCTTGACAATATCATCCCGGCCGCCCCCCCCCCAAGGGGGTCACAGGTCACCGGGGTTTGTTGGTGTGTGCGCCACCACGTCGCTGCATATGGCCCGAACCGGCTCGCGAAGGCACGCCTAATTATTCATGACTTTATGTAACGAGATTTGGGTAGAGAATTAGGTCGGGGAACATACTGAGAAGGAACCGGATGAATTTGGAAAAGGGAAAAGTTTAATCATGAGCAGAACTGTAAGAAAACACACATATTATGTACTCATGCTGCTGTACACACAAACTGTTTAGAAACACACATTTTCTTGTGCACAATCTGGGTCAGCACACAATAGAAACTAGTGCCGGGTGGTAGGACCCAAGATTTATACCACAGTATTAATAAGGTTTATATATTGATTATTATTGTGCAACTCTATCACCGCTTCCTCTTCAAACTTCAAATATTTAAATAATAGTTGTATAAACTGTAGAAATTAAAACCAGTCAGTGTGGGGCTGGTTACTCAGAAACAGGTTATTTATTCACTCATTACTTTACCTGCCAACAGTAACTGATTGTTGGATTTCAGATCAGTGACTGTAATATTATTGCTGAAATGTATTAGTAATTAGTTACACTACTAGTTAGTACTGAGTTACTGCCCAACACTGAAACCAGTTCATCCAGTATAATCACCCAGTATTAATATAAACAGCCAGTTTATATAAAAACTGCTTTAAATCGATAAAATCAGCCTACACACACAGACTGGTTTCCATACGAACCAGTTAAAACCACCACACACTGACAGTCTGTTCCCTTTATAAACCAGTTTAAACCCAGAATACTGTAACATACTGGCAGCCTGTTTCTACATGCCACCAGTATAAAACCAGTTCAACATTAATGTAACTGACTGTTTCTTTATAAACCAGTATAAAAACCAGAATATTATACATACTAACAGTCTATTTTCAACACAAACCAGTCCAACTAACTGACTGTTCCTTAAATAAACCAGTTTAAACCCAGAATACTGTACATACTGGCAGCCTGTTTCTACATAAAAACCAGTACAAAACCAGTTCAACATTATTTTAACTGACTGTTCCTTAAATAAACCAGTTTAAACCCAGAATACTGTACATACTGACAGCCTGTTTCTACATAAAAACCAGTATAAAACCAGTTCAACAATATTTTAACTGACTGTTCCTTAAATAAACCAGTTTAAACCCAGAATACTGTACATACTGGCAGCCTGTTTCTACATAAAAACCAGTATAAAACCAGTTCAACATTATTTTAACTGACTGTTCCTTAAATAAACCAGTTTAAACCCAGAATACTGTACATACTGGCAGCCTGTTTCTACATAAAAACCAGTGGAAAACCAGTTCAACATTATTTTAACTGACTGTTCCTTAAATAAACCAGTTTAAACCCAGAATACTGTACATACTGGCAGCCTGTTTCTACATAAAAACCAGTATAAAACCAGTTCAACATTATTTTAACTGACTGTTCCTTAAATAAACCAGTTTAAACCCAGAATACTGTACATACTGGCAGCCTGTTTCTACATAAAAACCAGTGGAAAACCAGTTCAACATTATTTTAACAAACTGACTGTTCCTTAAATAAACCAGTTTAAACCCAGAATACTGTACATACTGGCAGCCTGTTTCTACATAAAAACCAGTGGAAAACCAGTCTGCCATTAACTGGCATGAAGTCAACGTCTGTTCACCCAAACAGGCAACCAGTCCCTCTCTGATCCAACCTACGGCAGTTTGTATTTCACATTAAACGAGTTTAAAATAACATCAACCAACAAACTTTATATTATCTCCGTTTTTATTTTGAAAAACTATAAATCACAAAGCGACCGTTGGTTTGAGCATTAAACTGTTAACACCAACCGTCCGGATCGACACAAAAACAGCCAGAAAAAGCGACTCTAACGGGGTTTTTTTTTTGTTTTTAAAACACACACAAAGAAGTTTAAAAACCCGAACAACCATTTCATCTACCGCTCAATTTCTGTGTCAATAAAATCAGTTTAAAGCCTTTTTTAAAAAAAAAGGGCAGCCAGTCTGTTTCTATACAGCAGCTTCACCTCAGATGACCCGACCAGCCAGACTGGCTGTCTGCTAGCTAGCCCCGTTTGAACCGCGCATACAGCGGGCAAACAGCAACACTTGAACCGACACCTACTAACTGTCACTCCCCTACAACCGTCCCCGAGTCCCCGCCGGAGAAACACACACACACCGGGAGGAGCAGAGGAGCAGGGGGGGGGGGAGAGGAATAAGAGGGGGAAGAGAAGGAGAGAGAGAGAGAGCCAAAACAAATGCATTTCCCGACATGAAAGCACAACATCCAGAGACGGGCAGCCACGTTTCGAGCCGCTGTGTGCGGGGAGAAGGCTAAAGCTAAAGCGCTTAGCTTCACCCGGGGCTGCCCGTCATTGGCAGCGGCTAACGAGGCTAACGGCTAGCTCCGCTGGCTAATAAATGTATTATGTGCACTTTCACCGGGGGTGGAGGAGGAGGTGGAGGAGGAGGAGGAGGAGGTGGAGGAGAGGAGGGGGAAAAGTTGGCTACCAAAAAAAAAAAAAAACAAACCCCCAACCGGATGACATTCAGTGGTCTGACAACTCTCCTGAAATAAACAGCAGCTCTCTCTCTAAAGTTATCCGACAGCGAAGGCATCGAAACTGCTGTAATTCTTAGTTTGTCTGCCGTGGAGCTTCTGCCGGGTGATAGCAAGGTGATTCCCCCCTCAGAGAGGCTGTGATGGAGGGGGTGGGTGGGTTGGTGGTGGGGGGGCGCTAGCAGCAGCCAGCCAGCCCGGGCAGAGAGCAGCCAGCCGGGGCAGCACAGGCAGCACAGGCAGCCGGGGCTCCGCTTCTCGTCCAAGCCGCTTTAATAACTTCACTTTTGCGGTCACTTTTGGTGGAAATTTCCCTCCAGGAGTTGAATAAATAAGAAGTTTCCCGTGTGTCCTACCTGTGTGCGGGTCTCTGCGTGCAGGGTGCGACAAACAAGCCTGGAAGTTGATTTTTATTCCCAGATATCCAGAGTGGTGCGGTGCGGGGCGCATATAGCTAGCGCTGGGTACAGTAAAGATTGTAGCATAGCTAACCTAAAGACAACAGTAGAGAGGAGGAAAAAAAAAAAAAAAAAAAAAAAACCCTCCTCGTTGCTCATAGGGGGGATCGACGACAAAAACCACATGATCTTTTACGTCAGCATACATTTGCATAGGATGCCAGAAATTTATGTCTCGCGCCCAGGTGACGTGAAAAAATGGTACAGAAAAGTTTGATTGCGGCGCCGCCGGACGTTGGCACGGCTGCTCGGGTTGCGGTGCAGAGGCGCAGGCATGTTGCAGCCACGCACACACCCCCCCTCTCTCCTCTCCTGCAGCCCCCCCGAGCTGCACCGGTGTGCTGTTTCATGACTTACATCAGGGGCGGCTGTTGCTACACATCACTGCAGCCCCCCTATACGTTCCTGTGGGGACTCCCAGCAGCACCTGGGAGGATCTATACGCAGGTTGTAACCCCTGTAAGCTCCAGAAGAAGCCTCTTTTATCTGCAGGGCTGCCTCCAACACCCCCTCATTTAACTTAAAGTCTCACTCTGATGTATATATCCGGTTGTTTTGTACAATGTAGAACCATCATTGATCCTCTTACAGCCTTTTATAGTCCAGAACAACAACGTTAATGGTCCTTACAATGTCAATAAAAAGATATGGTGGTGTTGGGATTGGGGTTGTTTTCTGAGAACACCTGTTTGATCCGGAGCTGACCTCACAAACAGAGTCTGCTCTGGTGCAGGCAGCATCACACCCAGCAGCCGGCAGCTTCATCTTCCAATCTCTCAATCTGAAGGAAATGTGAAGGAGTTGTGATGGGAAGGAGGTGAGGGAGTGGAAGTTTCCCCCCCCCACCGACCGACCGACCGACCGAGCAACCGTCGCTTCTGCATTAATCAGGCTCATGTATTTTTGATAAATGGGCTTGTTGTAGCTGATCAGATGCAATAAAACGTAGAAACTGCTTCCACACGGGGTCTGTGAAAAGACGACAGAGAGCGACACCTGCAGGAGGACGTGGGAGCTGCAGCAGGTTGGTGATGAGTTCAGGGGCAGGAGTGGACGTTGAGCTCCTTCAGTGACCTTTGACATCTGCGGGAGAAATGAGAAGTGTTCACGATTATCTGATTGATCTCCTCATTTTTGCCCCTTTTCCATCCTTTTCTTTCACTTAAACATCTAATATTCTATTTTCTAATATTATTCTATTGTATTTTAATGTACCTGGCTGCTATGACGACCCAGTTTCCCTTTGGGGATTAATAAAGTCTATCTATTTATCTAATATTTAAAACGCTGATTGGATTGTGAGAGTTTAAACAACATTTAGTGAAAATGAGTCAGTTTCAGCCAAAAATAATTGATCACTACAGATATATAATCAATACTTTTTTCTCCACAAGATCAGAAATCAGGTCTAAAACAGCAGCAGACCTTGAATCCTCCATATCTCTTTTATATTTTAATCATTTATATTTCTCTACTTGTCTCAAATAGTTTCACTAGATAGATAGATAGATAGATAGATAGATAGATAGATAGATAGATAGATAGATAGATAGATAGATAGATAGATAGATAGATAGATACTTTATTTATCCAGAGGGAAATTCAAGTATCCAGTATAAACAGTTGGAATAACTAAGACTAGATGTTATGAGATAAAGATCCACGGTCCCGATGTGTATTCGTTTGTGGGTCCTTGATACCAAAAAGGTTGAGAACCACTCGTCTGAAGTCCTTTGAGTTGCTCTAACCAGGACGAAAGGTTGATTGATGGATGGATTTGATCTGCATCAGGCCTGTGTTCCAACAAAAAGACGACATTCCTCCTCAGCAAACCGTAGTTTTATGTTCTTTTAATCTGTGGTTTTTATTGTTTTTCTGTTGTTTTTGTTAATTAGGATGGGAGCACTTTAATTTCCATGTTTTAATGGACAAATAAATTGAAGATTGATGAAACAGCTTTCCAGCTGGTGTCTCATGTAAAAGAATCACAACCTGCCAAGATTTTCCCCCTAAAACCTTTTAAAATATGAGCCTGAATCTGAACTGACCTTCCTCCTGCAGCAGGTTTTCATCCTCTGAACTGAGGCCTGCGACTGTCTGCCAGTCAGGAGTTTATTCACAGTCAAATACACTCGAGAACATCTTATTAAGCAAACTGCTTATTTTCTAACATCGCAAAACTCACTGTCTGTACGCTCGGATCTGGTGCATTTAGGGACGAGCCGATGGGAATAATACAGGGCCTTCGCAACAGAAACAGCCCGAGCCATCTTTGCAGAAGAGTTGTCTGCAACTGGAAGCTCTCGCCAGTGTCTCCAGAATACACAATCAGGTAATGTTGCCAGGCAAAAGTGCCAGCTCTAGCCAATAAGCAGAGTTTTGGCCAACATTGCTTAGCAACAAAAGTTAAAAACTGAACAACTCAGGGCTTAAAATAGTCTTTAAAATAGTAATCAAGAGCCGACAGTGTCACAAATGTCTGCAGATAAAAAGCTTCGGAAGCAAGAACTGCCCCCCCCCACCCCCCCAAAAACAAAGAAAGTAAAAAAGGGAAAGTTTGACTCCTGCCCTGGCAGAGAGGATTCTGGTTGTAAAAGTGGACTCAAAATGAAATAATGGTCTGTTTTTCTTACCTCTAAAACAATTAGGGATTATAGAACAATGGGCCCCTGGACACAAACATGTAAAAGGCCCCCAAGCACTCACTAAAAGACGATAAAGACCACTTGTAGTTTCTTTTGTGTGTCTCTTTGCAGTCGTTTTGTCTCTCTGCTCATTTTACATTTCCTTTTAGGCATTTTCCACCAACAGGGAACGGGCTCTGCTTCCTCTTCGTGCACCTAGTTTTGAACCGTTTTGGAGCATTATGACGAAAAATAAATTGGTTTATAACCTAAAAAGTTCTTCTCTACATAGCACCAAGGTCTCAAAAAACTAGAACCAGTTCAAGAACCAGAGTTAATTTGGTGGAAAAACAAGAAACACAAAAAAAGCACCACATCATTTCGGGTTCTTGAACTGGTTCCAGATTCTTGGTACCCTGGTGTTGAGGGGAACCATTGAAATCGAGGATGCACATAGGGTGTTGCACGATGCACAATGGGACCTGTAGAATACGACTCGCCCACTTTGGTTCCCAAGGAAAACCTGATGAGCCTTTTTTTACCAATTTATTTTTAGTCACAATGCTCTGAATGGATCAAAAGTAGGTGCACAAACTTAGGGCCAATAGCAGGTTTTGCGGATCAAGAACTGGAGCTAATTTGGTGGAAAAACTCTCTCTCCTCTGTTTTGGTCCTTTCCTGTCTGTTTCAGGTCCTTTCAAACAACAGGGAACCGGTTCCATTCTGGTTCGTGCACTTAGTTTTGCAACGTTTTTAAGGATTTCGACCAAAAATAAATTGGTTTGAAATCTGCAAACTGGAACCAGACAATAGTAGATATTCCTTATGAACTAAAGTGGGCGTGTCAAAGTTGATGTGCATTGTGCAGCTCCCTTTGTTGATGATGGATCCATGGAAAAACACCATCTGTGGTCTTTTCATGTCTCTTGATTGTCTTTCCAACAAGAAATATTAACAGTCATTACAATCTGAGGCTCTGACCCAGGAGCAACCCTGACCCTTTGGGCGTTTTACAGGTAGACCCGTTCTGTAATCCCTCTGTGTCTAAAACATGTTCAAATCATGACCCCCTCACACGGTGAACACAGAGAACATCCATCTTTGGTGACCCAGAGCTTCGAACAGTATGAGCAGAGACAAAACCTCAGCTGAATCAAACCTCAGGAATCACTTATTGTTTTTATTCACTCATTAATCAGGTGGTTATTTGAATTTTTGTGGCCCCCAACAAAACAGGAAAATGAGCGACACACCCCGACAGTGAATTTGCATATCATTGTGCTTAGACAAAAAAGAATTGTACATCTGTAAAAAGAGACACAATAAAAAGAGATATCAGAAACACAAAGAGGCTTTTAGCAGGTTTTCAATCTCACAGCGTCCATAAAAATCAGAATCTAACTTTAATTTTAGAATGAAAAGTAAAAACTGCACAACAGACTGCAGTCGTTTCTTTTTTGTCTTGTGACAGGAGCGTTTGCAGCCGCTGGCCTCCTTCCCGCAATTAATCAAATGAAGCCGCCTGAAAAGGAAAAAAATAAAAGTCATTATTTGGTGTCACAGTTCAGCACACTGTGTCGGTCTGTCTGTGCCGAGGGGCTGCGCGGGGGGGGGGGTTCTTACTGTTTTTAGGTTTGAGAAACAAACATGTTTCTGTCCGTAACAGTACAACACGGAGGTCTGACAAAGTGGCACCAGCAGCCTGGTTACCATTAAATAATACGGTTTAAAGACAAATACACATTAAAACCCAACAAATCACTGCAAATTAAAACAAATGTGCTGGCAGCCAACATACAGACGGATCAATAGAAAATGTGTCACTGTCTGAACACTAACTGTGTGTAATATGGGCAGTTAAAGGGGCAGTTAAAAAGTCATGTTAAAGGTTTCATATATGAGATTTGAAACATTAATATATCAGCAAACAGGTATTCTCTATATAAACATACAGTCACATGGTGTCTCACTGTTGTTTCCGTAGCCCGTCTGCTCCGACTGAAACTGCTGTTTTTATCATCCAGCTCTGTCTCTGTGGGGATCCTTTCCATAATGCTGTCAGACACTTGAGGCCAATGCACACCAACTCTGTATCTTTCGCACATTTAAAAATAAATACGACCTCATGTTGTGTCAACCGTGTTTACTTTCAATTTACTGAACTTTCATCCGTCATTAAAGTTTTTGGAAGAGGTTCGAGCAGACAGCTCTTTTATCAGCAGGTGAAACTCCTTTTTCTTGACACCTTGGACCCTTTGTGTGATAACTCCATCTTGTATTGTGAATTACGCAACAAATAGAATAATAAAACGCATCAGATTCAAAGTGCAACGCTTTTCTTCAGACGGTGGATTAAAAAAACATGTTTCATTTTAACCGTACACTATGTTGGCATTAAAACAAAGTATAGCAGAGGCTGATGGGAAGTCGTGACTTCACAAACACATTAGGATTCATTCTCTGGGGATGATGCCTAAAAGCATGTTAGATTCTGTTGTTGTAGTCTGTACTCAGCAAACTCTACCCAACATCACATTCAGTGCATATTCTTCATTAAACATTTAGAGGTTAGAACTGATCTAAATAATGTTTCAGGGGCAGAGAAGTGAAGAGAACAAACCGACCTGTCTCAGACTGTCTGG